GTATGTTTTTCCACCTATGCAGGTCTCTTTTGGTTTCTTGCAGTAGTGTCTTGTAGTTTTCATTGTATAGGTCTTTTATGTCTCTGGTTAGATTTTAGTCAATTTTATTAACTTTATCATTACTCTTTATTCATATTAATCTTGTTTCTAATTTCCTTCTTGGTATGTTCAAGGCCTGGCCTAATATACCTGAGGCTTTGAGGGAATAGACTTATATTTATAGGGTGTAAAAAGATTAAATAATTGACAAGACTAGTAATTATGTAATTGCAACACATATACATATACTGAAAAATGTTACTATGTCTTCTCAACAGAGCCCACTTACCACTATGGAGAAGTTTAGCACCTGCATACAGCACCTGCATTGACAAAACCAACTAGAATTGACTTGATCCCAACTGATAGCGACCCTATAGGACAGAGTGGAACTGCCCCATAGGGTTTCCAAGGAGTGGCTGGTGGATTCGAACTGCCAGTCTTTTCGTTAGCAGCTGTAGCTCTGAACCACTGTGCCACCAGGGCTCCATACATATACTACACATACGTAATATATATACATATGTATTACATTACATACTACATAGCAGTAATATTTATTAGTAATTATGGTTTGCTTTCACAAGATGGCAACATATTTATGTTTCAAATTATTAAAATTTGATTAATTATCTTTTCCAAATGTGACCTACGAAAGAACTATGGCTAAAAAGAAATAAAACTTTTTTCCCCTCAGGAATTGGGATGTAGGAAGAATTTCAGTAAACCAATTCCAACACAATCCTGGCTTCAGGAGTTAAACTAAAGCCTCTGAAAATGGATACAATAGTAAAACCACAACAGGCTTTCTGAAACTTTCTGTAAATGAGGGTGTGGCGAACTCCCACTTCCTAGAAAATAATCTTCAAAGTCTCATTTAACATTTCCATTTGCCAGGATATAAATATTTATAGTAGAGAAAACTTCAAAGGTAGGTTTCCCTGTGATACTAGATTCCTGACTCTTACATATTGTCTGCCCCCCATTAAATCTCCTATAAAAGCTAGTTTTCTGGGAATTCTTGGCGTATAGACTTGAATTGTTAAAGGGGAAGGGTGCTAACTAAATCGAAACCTTTATTAGCAAGGCTCTCCCAGTAATCATCAGAAAGCCTCAATAATTACATTCATTTTCATAAAATAAATAAAAACTCGTTACTTATACATGTTGCTATTGTCCTTAGGTGCCGTTGAGTCAATTACGACTCTTTCCTCTTAATGCTAACAGGGGCATTATTAACACGTTTCCTGAAGATCAAATGGTATTTTAGGGACTAGGCTAGAATTTAACCACTTGGTGCTTAATCCCAAACTTTCGAGTTGCTCACTGTAACTATCACACATTAAATAGAAGTGCTGCGTCCTCTTATTTTTTCTAGTGCCTTCCATTCCTGAGAAAGGTTAAATGCCTTCTCAACAGAGCCCACTCACCACCATGGAGAAGTTTATAGCACCTGCTATGTTGACAACTTAATGCAGGTAGCTCATACTTGACACACTGATACAAGGAAGATAAATCAATGTTTACTTACCTCCAAAGGTTGCAATAGCTTCTACTGCTCCATTATAGATGGAGGAATTTTGGGACGGAGCCTTGTAATTCCATAGCATTTGAACATAGTTCAAAATCTGGTTAAAACCCGCTGTGGAAAGAGCCCACCACAGGGACCAGTAAAAGAGACGCTTCGAGGAATAGCACTCCTTCAAATCTTGGAACCACTGCACAAAAACTCGCAAAGCCATATTTTCTGGCTTTGGGCTACTCAACTGGCCATCATCCAGATTCTTGGAATTGGTCGGTATTTCTTGAGTGGGTTTCTCCTCTTCACAGCTTGGGGCATCACCCTTGTGAGGTTCATCTAATGCGGCATTTGTGCTGGGTGACTTCTGCATGTCTTTGTTGGGTTTGGCATGAAAGAACATGCTTTTCTTGGGCATTGGTAGAAAAAGTGAGGAAAGGAAGGCCAAGGAGACGCACACCATGGATATAACATTGAGGTAAAAGTAGGAGAGGTTCGCCAGTGATACCAACAGTTGGGCCAGCACTGAGGCTGCTGTGTAGGCCACCAGCGTGACGCTCCTACAGTAGCCACTCACTTTCTGATAATGCTCTGGGCTGACCACGCTGTATATGTAGGCATAGTAGGCCACCTCGGTGGCAGTGACCATCCCATAGAAGAACTCAACAACCTGCATAGTCATCACTCCTTGGCCAAACAAGAGCAGCAACCAGGTAATCATGAAGCTAATCCCTTGTAAAATGATGACAGGTTTATAGCGGACGAAATCGGTGAGGACAAACACGGGGAACAGCAGCACCAGGTAAGAGTAAGTCCAAACGGGAAGGATCTCATGTGTGATCTGCAGAGTTGAAAAAAGGATCATGTGACCATGGAGTACCAGGAAGTGACAGGAGTTACTACTACAGGTACATATGCCTTGCCCAGTGTCATGGTTTGAATTCTGTCCCCCCAAAAATGTGTGTATCAATTTGGCTGGGCCATGATTCCCAGAATTGTGTGGTTGGCCTCCATTTTGTGATTGTAATTTTATGTTAAAGAGGATTAGGGTGGGAATGTAACACCACCCTTACCCAGGTCACATTCCTGAGCCAATGTAAAGGGAGTTTCCGTAGGGTGTGGCCTGCACCACGTTTTACCTTGTAAGAAATAAAAGGACAGGGAAGCAAGCAGAGAACTGGGGACCTCATATCACCAAGAAAGCAGTGCCAGGAGCACAGCGTGTCCTTTGGACCCAGGGTCCCTATGTGGAGAAGCTCCTAGTCCAGGGGAAAATTGCTGAGAAGGCCGACAAAGAGAGAAAGCCTTTCCCTGGAGATGATGCCCTGAATTTGGATTGTTAGCCTACTTTACTCTGAAGAAATATATTTCTCTTTGTTAAAGCCATCCACTCGTTGTATTTCTGTTGTAGCAGCACTAGATGACTAAGACACCCAGTATAAATTCTGCATCCAATTGGATATTCTTCATATTATGGAAAAGCATAGAAGATAGCTCCTCCACCAAAACAAAAAAAAAAAAAAAAAAAAAAAAAAAAATCAAAAAACAAAAAACCAACATCCAGTTTATATATTTAAGTGCATTCCACTAAAAGAGTATATTGGGTTACTATTCAATCTGACCTATATAAATTATCAAATTTAAATAGTAAATTATTTGAGTAAATTAGTTATAAATTATTTGAACACTTCTGGGTTGTTCAGGCTCTGTTGCATATTTTAAAAAATACCATCTTGTTAAAAGATAAGCAACATCAGATAAAGAGGCTACACATTTGAGAAGAATCTTTATTTCTGCACACATGAAGACAGCACAGAGTAAAGAACCTGGGAGGACCGGGGAGTAGAAACAAGCACTGCGTTTCATCTCCTTCCTCGACAAATTGGCTGGGCTCCTAATTCCATTTCCCTCCATTCTACTGACTGTCTCTGCTGACTCAATTCTGGCCTCAGTTTAATATGGTCAGCCCATAGAGTTTAGTCAGAAATGCACAGGACCTCAATTTTCATAGATGGAAAGGACTGAAGAAGTGGTTGCTCTTTGGGGCATGGTAGGTCAGAGCAGAAGCCTTTGAAATCACTGAGTCTCTGTCCTGTTGACATTTGGACTCACTGAGGTTGCTGGAAGGAGCCCTGGTGGTGCAGTAGTCAAGCGTTCGAACTCACTAGCTGCTCCATGGGAGAAAGAAGAGGCAGTCTGCTTCTGTAAAGATTACAGCCTTGGAAACCCTATGGAGCAGTCCTACTCTGTCTTATAGGGTTGCTATGAGTTGGAATCGACTCAACAGCTGCGGGTTTGGGTTTTTTTTGGAGGTTGCTGTAGAAAGCAGAGGGCCCAGAACAAGGCCCAGCGTGACTGAGCTGCACCTTTGAGGATGAAAGCAGACCCCAGTGTATTCGTTGGGCCAATTCGGAACTTGATCCTTTGTTTAGTCTTAATTGTGACAAGTTTCAATCCAGGAAACTCTGAAACAAAGTTATCCCTAAGTGTCTTTGGCACCACAGCAGAACAAGCTTGCCTTTCTGTCTTTGCCACCTCACCACTGAGTAAACCAGCACGGATTAGCCTCCCAAGTGAAGCCACACTCTATCCAGCATTTTCATGGCTCTGATGGAGATTCTAAAACCAGTCCAGGGAATTCGCCAGATGGGTCGGTGCATTTTCTTGTTGCAAATGTTATAAGGAGAGGAAGTGGATCTTTTAAGGAAGAGAATTTGGTCTTCTGGGAAGGAGGGGCTGGGAGATAAGGTTGTTCATGCCTTACCTGCTTGTAAATAGTTTTTCAAATCTGAGTAAGTGAAATCTCCTGAAGAAATGTGACAATTCTCTCTCAGATTCTGCTTATACTTCGGCAGTGTGAAAGTTTATTAGGGCTACATCTCGTGCCTGGCGGAGGGGCTAGTTATACTAATCCACTGCCGCTGAGTTGATTCCAACTCATAGTGATCCTATAGGACAGAGTAGAACTGCCCCATAGGGTTTCCAAGGCTGTAATCTTTACAGAAGCAGACTGCCACAACTTTCTCCCATGGAGCAGCTGGTGGATTAGAACCACTGATCTTTTGGTTTGCAGCTGAGTGCTTTAACCACTGCACCACGAGGGCTCCCTAGTTATACTAGGATTTATGTAATGAAAATGTTCACTGAAGTTGAACACCTGAAATGTTCCCAAGCACTAAGACTAATATTAGGACTCTAAGAAGTTAAAATACTTCAGTATTTTCTCTATTTTTTGAATGTAAGGAAAGAGCAGTTGAACAGTTCTAATACCAAAAAAAAAAAAAAAAAAAAACTGTTGCCTTCCAGTCGATTCCGACTCATAGTGACCCTGTAAGACAGAGTAGAGCTATCCCATAGTTTCCAAGGAGCAGCTGGTGAATTTGAATGGCTGACCTTTTGGTTAACAGCCGTAGCACTTAACCACTGTGCCACCAGGGCTCCTAACAGTTCTAATACGTGAGAAATATGAAAATGAGACTCACTGAGGTCAGCATTTTAATCTTATTTCAAGCTGAATGAAACTCTTGACTCTACGTCCTTGTTCAAGTCCTGTAGAAATTAAAACCACACTGAGATTAAGCATGTATGTTAAACTTACCTCTTTGCTTGTCAGGTTTTTATCTGGTCCAGATAAATATGGGATGAGGAATGGTTCTGAAGGTCTCATCAAGGAGAAAAATCCAAATAAGCAGAGAATCACAGTGGGATAAACCCACGAATGACTCGGTGAAGTTCGGAAACAAACCATGGCTGATCAAATGGAAACAAAGCAAAAATTAACTTGTATTGATTCCTTTTGGCTTCTTGGATGCAATGAAAAGCTGATTATTTCTGAAGGTTTTATGACAGGGTGAAGTATCATCCACAGATGGAGGGGAAAGATAATTGCTCTCAAATATTCTCTCAGTGAGCCAGTCAAATCCTCCTTTGTCAATGAACTTGAACTTCTTCTTCACTGAACTTCTGATAGAAGCACTTCTTTGTGCTCTCCATCATAAGCATGGTAAGTACTTGGTAGCTACTAATAAATGGTAAATGGAGCCCTAGTGGTGCAATGGTTAAGTGCTCAGCTGCTAATCGAAAAGTCGGCGGTTTGAAGCCACCAGTGGCTCTGTGGAAGAAAAGAGCTGGGGGTCTGCTCCTGTAAAGACTTCTGCCTATAAAATCCCATGGGACAGTTCTACTCTGTCCTATAGAGTCGCTATGCCAAAATCAACTTGACAACACTCAAAAATAAATGGTAAAAAGGAGCACAGGTGGTGCAATGATTAAGTGTTTGGCTGGTAACCAAAAAAGGTTGGCAGTTTGAACCCACCCAGTGACTCCATGGGAAAAAAGACCTGGTGATCTGTTCCCGTAGAGCTTACTGCCTAGAAAATAGAAAACCCTATGGGGCAGGTCAATGAAAATTGACTCCATGTCACCTATTCATTGCCTTTGAGTCATTTCTAACTCATAGCAACACAGTGTGACAGAGTAGAACTGCCCCATAAGGTATCCAAGGAGTGGCTGGTAGATTCAAACTGCGGATGTTTTGGTTAGCAGCTGAACTCTTAACCACTGCGCCACCAGGGCTCCCAACAGCACCTAAGAACAACATTAAATGGTAAACAATGAGCCAATGAATCTTCTCCTAAATGTGTCTGAAAGTAAGTGAAACTGCAGTATGATGGATTGCTTTTTATGGCATTTATCACCATGATCTTGGAACTCCCACCAAATGATTGGATGGGACTATGCAAATAAGGTGCCTGTGGCTCACCAAGGGAATTGGACAGCTTGCTAATAATGCAAATAAGGTGCATGGTACCCTTGTGGGAGTGGAACCATGCAAATAAGGTGGATTGGTCAGTTTTGCCATCTTGCTAGTCTTAAAAGGGAGCCAATCCCAGAGCAGAGGGGGATCTCAGTACCACCAAGAAAGAAGAGCCAGAAGTACAGCACCTCCTTTGGACCCAAGATCCCTGCACTGAGAATCTCTTAGACCCAGGAGACAGGGAGAGAGAGCTGTAACACTGGAGACAGCGCAAGACAGCAAGAAGTGGTAGCACAGAAACGGTGGCAGCAGAACCAGGAGACCATCATGAGACAGCGTGCAGTGGGCTTCCCAGCCCACGGAATGAGGCAGCTACAGTGGGTGTGCCAACTCACAGAGCGAGAGAACTGAGAGCCTTCAGGCAGGAGGCTTGCTGGCAGAGTGGGGTGTCTTTGGGTGCTTACTGGTGGAGCTAAAGAGCTTTATAACACTTGCCTAAGCAGGGCAGAGGCCAGGCCCAGGGGCCGAGGGAGAGGCCTGCCTGCAGGCACAGCTGAGGTGCTGTCCTGATCGAAGAACTATATTCTGAGTTTTTCCTGATCCTCAGTTGTAACCTATTATTTCCATAATAAACCCCACAATTGTGAGTATGGTCTGTGAGTTCTCTGTGGCCATTACAACAAATTACCAAACCCAGCAGAGAAGTAGAGGGTGCTGTGGGAGGGACAGTTGGTGTCAGAATTGGTAAAAAACATTGGCGATAGGAGGTATGTCTGACCACCTCGTAGGACTCAGCCTTGGGCTGTTGATCTTGATTCTCCTTCCCCCTTGTGAAGTTAGAGGAGGTCTGACGCTGCTGCCACACCATTTTTACAGAAACGTTGGCTAGTGAATTATTGGTGTACATGTGGTAGACAAACTATTTCTAGAGCTTCAAACCCTAAGTGAACATATGTCAAGCACACACTGAGTTGATCAAACCTTCTATTATCTGCCCACTACAGTTGCACTTTGACTAACATCTTTAACAGGCTGAATGGCATATATTTATTTACACATTTATCTTACATTAACCTGTTTCTTGCCTAGCACTGTGCTTGACACATAGCAAGCATCCAAGATGTGGTGATTTCTTAATATTATTAAGACAGAAGAGTTCTTTTGATTTCTAATTAACTTTGGTAAATCAGAATAATTTAAACAGTCCAAACACTCCGTTTTCTAAGCATTCTAATCAAGCAAGATTGGGCTACTTAACAGGGAGAGACAAAGATCCCTTCACTCACACAAATGCATTATTTCTCCCCATATGGTGAAGAATAATGAAATGGTAATTGCTATGGAAAGAACTTGGGATTTCCTCAACTCAGGCATGCTTGAGTTTAAATCCTTCTATTGCATTTGCTAGTTGGCTGATTTTAGATTAATTCTTAATTTTCCTAAAGCCTGAGTTTCCTCATCTGTAAGATGGGAATAATAATACCTAAACTCACATGTACCATTTATAAGGTTTGAATCTCTTACCTCAGCAATGATCACCTACTCAGCCACTCTAAAAAAAAATGGAACAGGGGATTTCTCATCTTCACAACTTGTTTAAGAAAATCATTGCAGTTCAGTGAATTACTTAATATGGCCCTCTAGCAATAGTCTTTGTAACTCCTACCAAATGACTGGATGGGACTATGCAAATGAGATGCTTGTGGTCCACCAAGGGGATCAGATAGCTTGCTAATAATGCAAATAAGGTGCATCGTACCCTTGTGGAGGTAGGATGATGCAAATAAGGTGTATGGAACCCTAACAAGGGAATTGGTCAGTTTTGCCAATCCCAGGGACGGGAAGGGAGGATCTCACCACCACCAAGAAAGAAAAGCCAGGGGTGGAGCACATCCTTTGGACCTGGGATACCTGTGCCGAGAACCTCCTAGATTCAAGAGACAGAGAGAAAGAGTTGTAACATCGGAGATGGCGAGAGATGGCAAGAAACAGCACCAGAAAAATGGCAGCAGCAGAAGTAGCGGAACCAGGAGACCGACAGCAGATGGCACAGTGAGCTTCCCAGACAATGGAGCAAGAAAGCTCAGTGCCTTGGGGCAGAAGGCTTGCTAGCAGTGGGGTAACTCTAGGATCTCTAAGCCACGGAGTGAGAGAGCTGAATGTCTTTGGGCGCAAGGCTTCCTGGCGGAGTGGGGTGCCTCCGGGCACTTATTGGCAGATCTAAAAGAGCTTTGTAACACCTGCCTGAGCAGGGCAGAGGCTGAGGGGCCAGAGAGAGGAGTGCCTGTGGGCACTGCTGAGAAGAGGCTGTCCTGATCCAAAAACTGTATCCTGAGCGTTCCTGAACCTGAATCGTAACCTGTTACTACTATAATAAACCCCATAATCATGAGTGTTGTCTACGATTTCTATGTGCACATTGCAACGAATTATGGAACCCAGCAGAGTAAGAGAGTGCCGAGGGAGGGACAGCTGGTATCAGAATTGGTAAAAAGGTTGGAGGGTGGAGGCGTGTCTGACCTCCTCCTCATAGGAATCAGCCTTGGGCTGTTGATCATGATTCTCCTTCCTCCTTGTGAAATTAGACTAAGAGGTCAGATGTCCTCGCTCTGCTGTTTTTACAGTTGGTGTCAGCATTCATTATCACAGCACTGATTTACACTGATTACATACTGAAATATTTTGGATGCATTGGGTTAAATAAAACATCAACATTTATTATCAGAATTTCACCTGTTTTAAAGTTTTTAATAGTGTGACTACTGTTGTTGCTGTTAGGTGCCCTTGAGTTGGTTCTGACTCATAGTGGCCCTATGTACAACAGAACAGAACACTGCCTGGTCCTGTGCCGTCCTCATGATTGTTGTTATGCTCGAGCCCATTGTTGCAGCCACTGTGTCAATCCATCTCGTTGAGGGTCTTCCTCTTTTTAGCTGACCCTCTATTTTACCAAACATGATTTCCTTCTCCAGGGACTGATCCCACCTGATAACAAGTCCAAAGTATGTGAAACGACATATTGCCATTCTTGCATCTAAGGAGCATTCTGGCTGTACTTCTAATCTTTCCCTTGTGTCTTTAGTTTTCTTCATTCTCCCTTCCTCCTGAAGGGGTAAGACCAGTGGAGTATCTTAGATGGCTGCTCACAAGGTTTTAAGACCCCAGACGCTACATACCAAAGTAAAATGTAGAATATTTTCTTTAATAAACTATGTTATGCCAATTGAGGTAGATGTTCTCCAAGACCCTGATCCCCACAGCCCTCAGCCCAGTAATTTGGTCCCTCAGGGAGTCTGGATGTGTCTGTGGAGCTTCCATGACTTTCCCTTTTACAGAGAGCCTGGAGGATATGGGACTAGGACAGTGGAAAGGAATCACATCAAATCCTCTTCCATGCTTGTTTAGAAATACTGACAGAATTAGAATTAACCCAAATGCCAACAGTAATTTATGAGGGAAATATCTAGAATTTCCAGTCTCCACTCAATCCCTGCCCACCTGTCCCTATGAATCAAATTGTTTTGCTGTTAGCTGCCATGAGTCACCCCTGACATAAACTCTAGCACCACAGGCTTTTAGAAGAAAACATAGGGGATCTTCATGACCTAGGGATTGGTGAATATTTCACTGAAATGACAAAAAGAATGAATCTTAAAAAAAAAAAAGATTAGCTGGACTTGGAAAAAAAATCCTATCTGACTTTTTTCAAGTCAATTTATTAAACCAATCAAATAAAATCTTATCTTATATCTGCTCACCGAGAAATATCATTAACAAAGTGGGAAAAAAAGCCACAGACTTAAAATATGAATGGTCAAAAAGCACATGCAAACATACTCAACAACATAACTCATCAGAAGTGCAAATTAAAACTATAATACAACACTTCACAAGCATTAAAATGGCTGAGCTCGAGCCAACATGGTGCTATAGACAGAAGCACCATGCCATCCCTCCACAGCAAAGACCAAAAAACTAGGTAAAACAGAGACAA